CGTATACCAGCGCTGTTCTTTGTAAAGCAGAGCTGTAGAAAAATCAGAAATTTCACATTTTGGAGGGATTGTTAATCAAGATTTCTGAAGAACAAATACCACCTTGAAAAATGAAAAATAAAAGAACTGCACTAAATGGACTTTGGCACAAACCTGAATATTCATTTATTCTTATGAAATTTTAGCAGACTCACAAGAAACAAGGCTGTCTGTGGCCCTGAAACATAAGATTTAGAGCTAGAAGGGAATTCTGAGGTCCAAATTCTCTATAAAAGGAGAGAAGTGATTTGCCCAAGGTCACAGTGCAAATTTAATGGCAGAATCAGGACAAGCATCCACCTCTTAGGCTGATGTTATTTTCTACCTCACCATTCTGTCTTCCAGAAAGTAACACAAAATGTGGGGGGGGGGGGAAAGTCTAGAAGGTATGTTGAAATCAGGTAATCACAGGTGAAAACAAGGACATCATAAGCGCATAAATCATTTTAAATGGCTCTAATCCTTTACTTGCGTATGATAGCAACCCATTACTATTTAATTAATGTTCATTTGTCTGCATGTAATTACACTGTTCCATATCAGTGTTTTCTATCTTAAGCTGTAGGTACTGAACACAGTGCAGGCCAATACTCCTGATGAGGGTTATGTCATATAGATAAGTAGGCTTATATTTGTGCCAGGCTCTTAGGTATGGAGATTAGATCTCCCTTTAGAAAACCATATGGAAAAAATGAAGAATATGCAACCAGTTATATTAATCATTCATTTCCCTGAAAATGCTGATGGCTTCCTAATTTATTTATCAGAGAGCAAAGTCAGCATGACAGTTGAATTATGAAAGATCATCAATACTAAGAAGTAAACTCTGCATCCTGTGTCAGCTGCTTATTGTTTTAGCAACAGTGGCTAATGATAAATGCCTCAAAAATAGCCCAGACTCTAGAGCTCTCATAGACACCGTCTGTGTAGTCTCAGTATTCTCAGCAGAAAGAAACAAACAGCCCAAAGCCCAATCATACACAGGGTATGTAGGTCTCCTGACTCCATCTCAGTGACCTACCATTAGCAAATGGTAAAAAATTTAAACACTTTTGTAGTGAAACGCATCAGTAAAATAAACCATCTTACCCAATGAACAATATATCAAATACGAAGTCCTCATCAAATACTGAAAGTGAAAATATAATCTGACCTTTCGGAGTTTTACCAATTAATTTGTCAACTCATTTTAAAATGAGCCATTTGGTTTATAACTGTTCAACTCCAAGGAGTTTTCAAAGGTATGATGGGTGCCTGGCTTGGGAACAAAGGAAAAAGAAAGTCTTGTACTTGTTACAGAGATACACTCACACAGTATACTCAAAGAGTATATCTCACCTCCACGCTAGAGTACTACCAGGACTACCTGCTACAAAAGGGGAACAGGTTATTTTAAAGTCCTTATAGGGAGTGCTGGGACATTTTCCCCATTCTCTCTTTCTGACATTTGAGTATGAGGACAATGAGGTAGGTTTGCCCTAAGATGTGCATGGCAATGGATGGGGCTGGCAACTGGGAGAGACTGGAGAAGAGAGAAAGGGATGGAAGAGCAAAAAGGGAGAGCAGAAACAAGTGGGGCAGAGGAAGAGAAATCTGGAGGTTTTGCCCTCACTTTATATAGGGAAAGGACCCAGAAAGATGGGAGAACACTCAAACTCTCACTCTCCTGGCTTGACCAACTGGTGGGACAGACAGCCATGTTAAGGACCTGCTAGGAAGTTAGAAAGAGAAACATTCAAAGGCCCCACTCTAAATCAGCAGCAGAGAATGGACCAAGAGAGAACCTAAGGGAAGGAAGAACCCTATGCTAGATAAGCCCTTAGATTTGAGACGAAATGATTTAGGGTATACACATAACTTTGGTACCAAGTGTAACTCATTCAAGGATTTTGGTCTTGTTTTTCTTCTATCAATAAAACTTTATAATGTTGTAAACTGCATTTTCACAAGTGAGAATTCAGTCTCAGTATATTGGGTAGGAAGTGGCACGGTACCGCGCGCACGCACACACACACACACACACACACACACACACACACACCTTTTGCTTCTACCTCCTGGGTAGAAGCTGCAGGCAAACAGAATGAGAAAATTCTCTAAAGGGTATTAGAGTCTCTAACAAAGCAGTTATACACTAGTGACAATTCAATTTAGAAGTCAACCACAGCAAAGCTATCAAGTTGTGGACTTGATAATGTCATAGGGTAACATCTCTACCCTGAGTTGTCTTGAATAATTTCCTTTTTGAAAACTACATAGCTTGTATGGGACTACCATGCCCCAGAGAACAATTTCCCATCCTGATTACTCTCTATGAGGGCTCATCAAGATGACCAAAAGTACAACCTAGCCTCTCCATTTATTAAAAGAAAATTATTAATTAAAGCTTAACTTAGAAGCCTTTCTGAGAGAAGGAAATGAGAAAGAGACCAAAACTATAAACTTTCAACACAACTAAATAAATTTTAAAATCAGTCTTGCTTTTTATAAACATCACAGCAACCAAACAGACCTCAATAATCAAAATAATGGGTAGGATTAATAATAAGGTAGTGTGGAAGGAAGTGATGAATAGGATTTGGCGTCCAAAGGCCTTGATTCCAACAGCTGGATGACCATGAACTAGTCACTTCATACCTTTGGACCATGGTTTTACCATCTGTTTACAGTGGAGGCATGAATCTTTGCGGCTTCTCAAGAGCAGAGCTATTTGTCCGTGTTCTTTTCTAGTACTTTCTCAAAGGAGCCCTGGGATAATTTGCATGACCCAGACCAGCTACTCTGGGAGAAAATGAGAGTGGAAACATAAATGTAAAGAGAATTGGCTTACCCTCTTCAAGCTCCTTAAGATTACATGGAAGGTACTGATGCAAGGGTAGGACATACCACTTAGAACTGGGAGAGGGAAGAGATAAATAGGGCAGATTCACCTTAATTAAGCTAGCAGTGGAAACAGACTTAATTGAGACAGTAGAAGATAGTTCCCATAGCATCTGAAGAATCCTTTGTTTATGGAGTATGGTTAAGACATTCAGTTATGAAAAAAAAAATTAAGTAGACTAGAAACATTTTGGCTCCAGAGGCACGAAAGAGATATAATAATATCAGCAAAAACTTTGGCTGGGAGTTGAGAGGTGAACAAATGAACAATGCAACCTCTCCCCTTACTGGAGCCGTACTGCTCCACCCAAAGAAGGGGCAAAAAAATTCTCCTGGCTCTTATTTACCATGTAAATAAGACCTGTTCTGTATGACCTCTTTCGAGCTTGAGTTGCTTACGAGGACAACTAGGACTATCATTGGGGAGTGCCAGATATTGACATTTTCATGCTTCCTCTGAGTGGAGTAAACAAGCCAGAGGAGCTTAGAGAACTCTAAAGTATAACCATGCCTTTGTGTTAGGAAGTAGCCTCTGTCACATCAGCCATATGTAAAAGGGAAGTTTGCAGCTAGTCAGTCTCTAATGTCAAGGGATCCAGGGTTCTCTAATTTTTCCCTATGAGTTCTGAAAGCTTTATCAAAAGCCCTCTCAATTCACCTGAGAAATTTTTCACTAGCTCTACCTACGGTCCTCATAACAGCCAGAAGAGAAGTATATCTACATTATACAAGTGCATTATACATGAGTGCAATATGTGTGCAGCATAATGGTGTACATATGTCTGCAGTTCCATCCTGACTTCTCAAGTTCATCATTATTATTGCTGTTGTCCTTGTTGATAACAATTTTATTGCAAATAACTATAATATACCCAATGTTTTACAGCTTACAAATCCCTTTCAGATATGTCTCATTTGATCCTCATAACAAATCTGTTACATAAACAGTAAAAGGATTTTCAAGATGAGGAAACTTAGGTTCCTAGATGTTGTGACTCACACAAGATCACACAGCTAGTAGACAGTGGGACTAGAATAGAAGCCAAGCCTTCTGACTCCCAATTAGGGGGGAAAATAGGGACTGGGCCTACAATTTCATGGAACTAGGGAACTCCTAGGTAAAGAAACTCCCACCAATTCAAGTTAGCATGCTCTGTGCAACTTAAAATCGTGTGTGTATGCATATGTATATATATATATATATATATATATATATATATATATATATATATATATATACATATATGTGTGTGTGTGTACATATGTGTGTATATACATATATATATATATGTATATATATATGTATATATATATATATATATATATATATATAGAGAGAGAGAGAGAGAGAGAGAGAGAGAGAGAGAGAGAGAGTTGTCTAGATCACTGAGAGATTAAGCAGCCTCCCCAGGTTCACAAAGCTAGTATTGCCAGAGGCAGGATTTGAAGCCATGTTTTCCAGGCTCTATAACCAGCTTGCTATCCAACCTATCCTCCTCCTTTCTCTCTCTCTCTGACCCCGAATCACGTACACAAAATAGGGAATAGTTCTTCCCTTCTAACCATGCTCCATATGAAGGCACCTGTCCTGATGACAGCCCATTGACTTACATTTCAAGTAGGAAAGAAAACTAGGATTCCACAATTTTCCATTCATTTTTGGCTACTCTAAATTTAAGACATCTGCTTAGGACTCCAAAATAATTGCCTTGTGTATGCTTTGGAGATATCTTGTACGAAGCTAAATCTTCAGAGTTGAAACAAAACAGAGGAATGGGTTAAATCTATCTAGTGCATCTGAGTAAAAAAGATAGGAAATCTGTAATCAGTATTGATGAAGGAGAAAAAAAAGCTAAGCAAACCAATTTTCCAATGTGAACACTAGGGAATCCATTGGATAATTTACTTGGCATTGTTTCATTTTGACTATGCAACTCTGGCCTTGAAATTCAAAGAGATGCTTTCTACCTTTCAAAATGTGGCAGTGATAATAACAACGATGTTTTCTTAAGAAGAAAAATGTCTAGTGAATTTGATACTTCTATCTTCAAAGAACAAAATATAACACTATTTTTCCTTACCGGTAAGTTGCAACTTCAAGATTTAGGCCTGTTTTCACTTGTAATAGTTCCTGGTAGTCCTTTAGTCGATCTGTCAGGGTCATGGTCAAATTCTGCTTTTCATCTTCTAGGCAGTCAATTACTCTCTAAACAGAAAGAAGGGCTTTTACGTTGGGGGGGAAATGTTTTACTGAATCAAAAACTCACGCTGACAAATTTCAGCCACTATATGAGAGAAAACCCATTAGAGTTTGTTAAATATGCATGCCAGACTGATTTTGAATATTGCATCCTATACAAATGCAAATATTTTAATAAGGGGTTGAAATAAAAATCTGAAATAAAGTAGATTTCAATTGGCTTAAATGTTACATATTACTGAGAATACAGCAACTTTTGTCAACATTATGCTTTTTTCAATATCATTTTTTCTAGTACACTATACTAAAGAAGGAAATTAATTCAGTGAGTCAATCAAAATGCAGAGAATCGAGTCCAGATTAGAATTTAGAGATCAAAAAACTAATTTTTAGAAGTTTAAATTTTTTTTTAAATTTGTAAAAGTTAAAAATTTTAACAAGTCCCCAAATCTAAATCAAGAATAAAAATTCTTAAAATACAAAAACATGCTATCCCACAGTTATATACATATAAAAAATTTATACTACAAATCCTATCATATTTTAAAGTCCCAGTTCAGGTAATATATTTAGTAACTGATTAAAAATAAATTTAAAAGTTAAAAGATTTAATTATACCAGTTAACATTCCTGAAAATTGAAAACTTAGCTCTTGCATTTGCCAAAATTATTGTTCTTTAACTCAAATGTAAACAGTACAATAGTTTCATTTCTGGCATTTTATGATTTTGTGCTTCTTAATGAATCTTAAATTGATTTTCTACCTGGAGAAAAAGAGTGACAAGGGTAAGATTTCATAAATAGAAATAAATTCATTTGGCATTCAATACTTTCCTTTTAAAATTAAAAGATATCATTGTTTCTTAATTCTAAATGACATAAAATTGCTCTTTTAATCACTTACATTTGTAGTACTAAATCAGACACTTGTTAAAGATTAGAATTAGGTTTCCTTTTCTATGATGCTATAGTTGCTAATAAAAGGGACTTGCTAAATTAGTTCCTCAAAACAGAATGACAATTTACTATCACAAATTCAAGAATTGATCCCAATAATGATAATCAGATAAGCAGGGGTGGGCTTTTTTGTACCCCTTATATCATATAACAATATTCTGTTTTAGCAACAGTTATTTTAATCACTTTAAAAAAGACAAACACAATTTATAAATTTGATAAAGTTATAGTAGCACAGTCTTAGATCTATCATCTAATGGAACCACTTTATTTTACAGATGAGGAAACTGAGGTCCACTTAAAGAGGTTAAACGACTTGCCCAAAGTCATACAATTAATAAATGGCAGAGCTGCGATTTGAGCCCAGTTCCTACAATTCTATATACCTCTCTCTTTTTCAAAAATTTATTTTATTTTTAGGGGCAGGTAGGTGGCATAGTGGATAGAGCACTGGCCCTGAAGTAAGGAGGACTTGAGTTCAAATCTAGCCTCACACCAACCACTTGACACGTACTAGCTGTGTGACCCTGGGTAAGTCACTTAACCCCAACTGCCTAAAAAAAATATATTTTATTTTTAATTGATGGAATAAAGCAAGCAGTTCCATTACATACTATGTGTATATATATATATGTGTATATATATATATATGTATATATATATATATACAATAAAAAGATGACTGCACATGAAACTGCAAATCTACTATGCATAACTTGCTATTCTTTTCAAATATGCAACAAAATTATCATGTAAATTTCTTTTTTTCCCTTTTTTTCTTCCCTCTTCTTTCCCTTTTTTTTCTTCTCTCCCTCATCCTAGAGATGGCTACCATTAGACACAAATAGATACAGCTGTAAAATTATTCTATACATACTTCTACTTATCAGTTCTTTTTCTGAATGCAGATTACATGTCTTTTATAATTAATTGGGGTATTTATAATAATCAAAATAACTTATTCACTCAAAGTCTATTCTATATACCTTTCTCTTTCTACCACAACATTTATGTGTTATCTCCCGAAAAGGGCAGGATTATTAGTGAACAGGTCAAGCAGGTCATAGATGAATGAAGGTAGGAATCTCAGTTTCCTCATCTTTAAAATGAGGGCTTTGGATTAGAGATCTCTAAGATCCCTTCCTAACTGGAAAAAATTCCCTCCAATTTGTCCAATTACATTACTGATTCATGAGAGTAAAGAAACCACACTCTATGGGGATTTTGCGTGCCTTCTCATCCCCAATGCCCCTCCCTCTTGTTTTTTTACAGAAATTTAAAGGTCAGGCCAGAAAAAAAAAAAGAAATCTTGGGTCTGTTGTATAGAGATTATGTTTTGTTAATCCAAAAAGAATTAACTCTCTTTTAACAGTACTGATTGATTCAGCACTCTGCTGTTGATAAGCATTACAAAAATGCTGACAACACACAAATGAGACATTTGTGTTCATATTCTCTAATGCACATATCACGATCCATTCAAGAGAACTGATCGGAAAGATTTTCCAGACATACTTCAATACCCTTAATCAAAGAATTTACTCAATACAACTAAGTGGATTAATACATTTTGGAAAGATTTTTCTATTTTACGCATACAGGATTTTCTGGTTAACAGGGACAGCTAGAAAACCCAACTGGTCAGCATTCCTGTTAATCAAGGTTTTGTCATATCAGCTTTATGACAAAAGCCGTTTCACTAATTCAGAGGGTCTTATGCAACAAGAGGTTTTACAGGCAGCACCATAGCCTGTTTCTTAATGGTTGCTGAACTCATAAGTTTAGGGTTGGGGTACCCAATTAGATCACAAACTGAGAGGAGGTACCCTGTATTAAACTTTGTATGCCTCAGGGAACACATCATAGCATTGGGCATATGAAAGATACTCAATAAACATTTGCTAATTTGACACCAGACTGGAGATATTATATAAGGTTTGTTGTCATTTAAGCAAAGGAATAAAACTCTTAAAAAAATACTAAAATGTTTTTTAAGGAAGGCTAATCTTAGTAATACAACAATAATTGTGATTATATATATTATACCTACATTTGAAGTATTTTTACATTTATTATTTATTCATAAGAATTCTGAGATTCTGTTTTCTCCAGCGTAGAAATGGAGATACTGAGACACAGAGAAGTTAGCTGCTTTGCCTAAAATGATGAAGCTAGCTTCAAGCTAATGTTTCCCAAGTCTCCTGCCTCCTCAAAATTTTTCATTTTTCTCTTGCCTAAAAAGGCCACAAAGTCAAAACGGCACAGTTTGCTGCAAACTGATCTTGTAAAGTGTGCAGTTACATAATTTTAAAATTATCACCTCAGAGAACCACTGGGGAACAATCAGGATTATTTACAAAAACGTCTGGTGGAAACTGAAGGAGGATTGTGCCAACTGCATCCTATGCTAAATAACGTACAACTCTAGGAGTTATTTACTTGTAAGAAAGTATGATTTTTACTTTTCCTATATATTAACTGCTTATATTAATCAAATGCAAGAGGTAGGGTATGATCTTGTAAAAATGTCATACCTAGGCATTATTTTTCATGATTCCTTAGAATTGAGTAGAGAGAGTAAAATCTGACTGAAATTTCTAACATCCAATATTATAACCGATTAAGCTATTTATCACATATTCCTGCCATCCCAAGAACAAATAAGGGAGTTCCTCAATATATAGAGCCAAGTGATGAACCAAATTTTTTTTCTTACAAATTAAGATGGGGAGATACATTTCCCTATATGAAAAACTCATAGCTTCCAAAAGCCGACCCTGACACAGCTGAGAGAGCCCCACCCCCACTCGCTGGATGGAAATGGCTGGGCCATTGCCCAGTGCATTTCTCAAAGGTTTCCTCCTTTCTCCGCCTCCAAACACAGACATGCGTGCAAGGGCGGATGACAGACCTTCCTAGCATTTGCCCCTAATTTGGTTTTCTCTGGGATCGTACCCTGGTATGAACGTTCTCTGGTGATTAAGCACGTTTGCCACTGAAATAATACCCTTCGATAACAAACCAGGGGATCACTATACACTTCCCTCTAAAGAATCCTACTCCCCAAAGCAAAGTTTCATTCCCCTGAACCTTTGGTGCAATGACTCCGCCCCAGGGTGGCCAGAAAAGTCGCCGACTCATGGACTGCTGTGGGGGAAGGCTTGGCTTTCCATGTTGAGATGGAGATGCAGAAGAACCACAAAAAGCAGAGACGTTATCCCAAAACCGTCCCGAGGAAACGTAATTCAAGCAGAGTGGGATAATGGAAAGATGTGGGTGTCAAGAGATCTGAATTCGAGTTCTTTCTGACATTTCCTAGCTGTGGGATCACTTAACCTTTCTGCGCCTCTATTTACTCATCTGTAAAATGAGGCTAATCCCACTTACATGCTCTCCTTACAATGTGTTTGGGGGGAAAGTGCTTTGTATGTCTTCAAGTGTTATATCACTGAGTTTTTATTACACACCTGGTTCTCTTCCATCTCCAGGTCGTAGTTTTCCCTCATCCTCAGGAGCTCTTCCTCTAGCCTCTGGCGCAGCTGGTCCAACTCTTGCGCCTCTCTGTGCAGGGACTCCACTTCGAGCTGGCAGAGCCGCTTCTCCTCCTCCGCCTCCTGCCGACTCTCCTGCCCCAGCCTCACCTTGTCCTCCAGCTCGCGCACCTTGTCCTGGTACAACTGGAAGGTCTCCTGCCAGGACTCGGACACCAGGAGGGCGTAGCTGTCGTGCACCTCCCGCAGATCGAGCTGGGGCTCCCGGGGCGGCTGGCGCGCGCGGAATCGCATGGAGTAGGTGGACACCTGCTGCCGCAGCTCTCGCACGTCCCGCGCGTGCCCCTCCAGCAGACGCTGGTGCTCGTCCTGCAGGCGGCCCAGCAGCCCTTCCAGGGCCGCCCGGGCGTCCAGGGCCTCCTTCAGCTGCAGTCGCTGCGCGCCCAGCTCGGCGTCCAGCTGGCCCCGGACCGCGCGCGCCTCCCCGCTCAGCCTGCGCAGTTCCTGTAGCTCGCGCCACAGGCTGTCCCGCTCCTCCTCGGCCAGGGACTTGTCCCAGCTAAGCTCATCCAGCTGCTGCCTCAAGCTGCTCACCTCCGCCTGGTAGCGCCCCTGCCATGCCGCCCACCAGTCCTCTTCCCTCTCCGGTTATGCAGCTCGTCCAGGAGCTGCTGGTTCTCCTGCTCCAGCTGCCGCACCCGAGACACATAATCGTACAGGCGGGCGTTGAGTTCCTGAAGCTGAGCTTTCTCATCTCCCCCAAGCAGCCTCCAGTGTAGCATTTTGGCTTGGTTTTGGGGGGGCGGTGGAATTTCGGGATGAGAACTGTGCCCCTCCTTTCCAAGATTTGACCCCTCCCCCCACTTCTCCTCTTGCAGCAGAGGTGAAGATCCTGCAGCTCCGGAGTCCTACAGACTCTGGAGCTACCGCTGGGAAAGCAACATGACATAACGGAGGATTGGGTGGGGTTCGGTAAGGGGGCCAGCAGGGAGCTGTCTCCTTGGCCAGGGTCTCCAGCCAATAGCAGCTTTGGACGAACCCCGACCGCTATAGCCAAACAGCGCCCTCTGCGGGAATGACCCACCACGAGACCCAATTCAGAACTGCACTTCTAACATCTGTAAGAGTGGAACATGTTTCAACCCAGAACAAAACCCCACTAGTAGTGGAGAGTGAAAGAGGGTTTGGGGGTGCAGGGAAACTGGCCTCCTGTTGGTGACACATATAAACACACTAAAAACAACCATCCCATCTGCCTGAGTGAGTTGGTCTCTAAGGCTGACCCCATTACACCAGATTTGGTGAGTCTAGCTCTGGACTTAGAAATAAGGAATATCCAGATAGCAAGTAGCGGAGCCAATATTCAGACACAGGTCTTAGGGTACAGATTTAGTGCTCTTACACCTACGCCAGCTGAAGCAGTGAAGAATAGTGAATGGAGAGCCTTCCTTTCCTTTCTTCCTTAACTCTATGCAGTCTAGCTTCTGACTCTATCATTCCACCAAAACACTGCTCTCTCCTAAGTCACTAATGATCTCTTAATTGCCAGATCTAGTGACTTTTTCTCAATCTTTATTCTTCTTGACCTCTTTGCAGCCTCTGACGTTGCTAATAATTTCATTCTTCTTGATTTTCTCTAGATTTTCATGATCCTGTTCTCCTAGTCTTCTCCCTATCTGTCTCATCTCTGTCTCCTTTGTTGGATCTTCATCATCAGACCTGTTAAGAGTGGAGATCCCCCACGGCCCTCTTCTCCGTTTATACTATATTGCACTTAGCAATCGCGTGGGCTCCCACGGTTTCAATGGTCATCTTTGCTCTGCTGATTTCCAGAGCTACTTCTACAACCCCAACTTCTCATCTCCAGTCCCACTTCTCCAACTGCCTTTTAGACATTCTCCAATTGATGTCCCATAGACATCTTAAATTCAGCATATCCAAAATGGAACTCATTATCTTTCCCCAAAATCCCCCCACGCTTCCTAAATTTCCTATTACTGTACAGTGCACCACCATCCTCCAAAGTCACCCAGCCTTGCAACCTAGGTATTATACTTGACACTTCACTGTCTTACATCTCCTCCTCTCCCTGTCCCCATATCCAATCAGTGGCTAAATCCTGTTGTTCCTACCCTTATATTATCTCTCATGTATGCCCCCTACTCTCCTTAGACAGTACCATGACCCTGGTGCAGGCCCTCATTACCATATGCCTGGATTATTACAATTGTCTGCTGGTTGTATATCTGCCTCAAGCTTCTCTCCACTTCAATCAATCCATCTTCTTAAAACACAAAATCTGATCATATCACTCCCCTACTCAAAAAACTCCAATGACTCCCTATCACCTCTAGGATAAAATGTAAAATCCTCTTTGGGGCTTTCAAAGCCTTCATAATCTAGCCACTTTCTACCTTTCCAATCTTCTTACACCTTACACCTTTTCCATGTACTCTGTGATGCTTATCTCTTAGCTGTTTTTCAAACATCTATCTCCCAACTCTGGGCATTTTCACTGTTGTTCTCTGTGTCCAAAAGATTCTCCCTTATTTCCATCTCCTAGCTTATCTGCCTTCCTTTAAGTCTCAGCTAAAGTCTTACCTTCTGCAAGAAGCATTTCCAGTCCTCCTTAATCTTAGTGCCTTCTCTCTGAGATTACCTATAATTTATCTTGTATATACTTGATTGTAGAACAGTTGTTTGCATGCTGTCTCTAACATTAGACTGCAAGATACTTTAGAACAAAAGCTGTTTTTTGTGTTTTGTTGTATCCCCAATATTTAGTCTAGCACCTGGCACATACATAATAGATGCTAGTTGATAATATAATAATGGTTGATAAATGCTAGTTGATTGACTCTCAGCCAGGAAGATCTGAGTTCAAATTTATCCTGACATATATTGGATATGTAACCCTGGACTAATTATTTGACCTCTCAGTGTTCTAGGTGATTCTTTAAGACAATAAGTTACAATGAATGCAATGGAATACTATTGTGCTGTAAGAAATTATGAAGGTAATGGTTTCAGAGAAATATGGAAAGACCTGTATGAATTGATACAAATTGAAGGGAGAAGAACCAGGAGAACAATTTATGCAATGACATAGTGGAGGATGAAGCATAGTTTCTTCTCTTTCCTCCTTTCTTTCTTCCTTCCTCTTATTTTTTTTGGAATTAGTTAAAGTGGGAATTTGTTTTGTGTGACTATGCATATTTGTTTTGTTTTGTTTTTGTTTTCTTTGCTAGGCAATGGGATTAAGTGACTTGCCCAGGGTCACACAGCTAGTAAGTATCAAGTGTCTGAGGCTGCATTTGAACTCAGGTCCTCCTGACTCCAGGGCTAGTGCTCTATCCACTGTGCCACCTAGCTGCCTCATACATATTTGTTTTGGATTTTGTTTTTCTTGCCTTCTCAATGGATGGAGAAGTTAAGAGGTGGAGAGAATTAGTAACAAAAATTAAAATAAGATTGAATTTTTTAAAAGACTATAAGTTCAGGTAACTAAAAGTTACCTGAATTAGTAGAGGTGGTGTCCTCATCTAGGAATTAAAATTTACAAATGAAACAAAATGTCTAGATCTGTCCCTATACCTACCATTGTAGGTGTATGCTTCAGTAGAATTATTGTATACTTCAGTAGAATTAGAGACTCCTTTCACTTATCTCACTTGCTGTGAACAAAATCACAACATCAAAGTTCCTTAACCTCCTTAACAAGCACACCTAAAGAAAGAAGCAATAGTCCTAAGACTATTAGAGATATAACTTTCACTGAACCTGTAGTAAAGGTTCGTGATAGATTCTCATGGTATAGACATTGAGGCACTTCTAACAACATGGTCATTGCATGTAAAACTTGCTTCATCATTTCCCTTCCGAAGTGGGAAAAGTCCCAGCAAAAGCACAGTAACTCAAAGACGCTGGAAAATACTTCCTAGGGACTGGTCTGTAGCCCTACTACTTCTCTCTCTTGCAAGGTCCCACTTGACTCTTTTCCCTTATTCCCCTTGCTTCTGTGTCTGTGTCTGCATTGTTACAAAGGCCCAGTTTTACCTACATTTGTAAGGGTTGATTGTCTTTCCTACTGCAGGCAGCCTACGTTGGGATGAACATATCAGAGCAAAACTCCTAGTACAAGTGACCATTCCTGGTGCCTCCTTGTCTCTGCAGCTGTTGAACTGCCCTTTTTGTTGTAGAATGTTAACATTATCATAGCCTTAGTTTCTTGCCCAGGAGAATACAGAAAAAAACTAGAAGGTATTATCAAAGACATCAGCTGTTGCTGACCTTGAATCCAGAGGTCATTACCATCTTGTCTTTTGGTGTCCTCTATTTCTAACACTTGAGGTAGTTTACAACACTATCTGGTACCTACATTTTTCTAGGGACACATACAGCACAGGATAAGCCTCTATGGTAACAGGAACCCAAGAGCATCAGTGCTCTGCCCTGAAAAGTTCTCACCTATCTTTCTTTGCCTCCTTTCAGCAAAGCAGCTTCTACAGCTTCTGTATAAGAGCCATTTTATAAAATCATAGGATTTAGAGTAAAATGAATCTTAAGGGTCTTATGATGTGCAACTAGATGGCAAAGTGGAACTAGGTGCAACTAGGTGGCAAAGTTTGAATCTGGCCTCAGACACTTAACTACCTGTGTGACCCTGATCAAGTCACTAAATTTCTGTCTGCCCTAGTTCCTCATCTAATAATAGCATCTACCTCTCAAAGTTGTTGTAAAGATAAAATAATATAATTTTCATGAAGTGATGTGCAAACCTTAAAGCTCTATATAAATGCTCTCATCATCAATATAATAATTATTTTTATTAGATCACAGTTTTAGAGCTAGATACAACCTTAGAAGTCATTCGAAACCACTCTTCTCATTTTATAAATGAGGAAACTGAGGCCCAGTGGGATTAAGCAGCTTGCCCAAGGTGGTGCAGGCAGGAAGAAGCAGATCGCTATAAGAACAGCAGCCCAGAGGCCCAGTTTTGCCAAACTTTACATACATCCTATAGGCGAACTCAGAGTGGGAAAAAGTCTTGTGCCTTTGTTATGCCTGTCAGTAACAGCTGCTGCCAGCCTGTTCTCAAAGCTCTACTTTCCTGCCTCTCTGTTTTATGGCAACTGTTGTCTGGTCCCTGCTGAACCCCTTTCTGATCTAGGAATATAGAATGGAATAGCAGTGTCACCCTGTGGCGTCCCAGCCCAAACTGGGCCAAAGAAACTCTTGGAAAACACTGTGACATCACAGTACTTAAAGATGTTCATTTTCATTTCGTTTAATTTTTATTTCCAAAGACATTGGTATGAAATACAAATAGCCCCAGGCTAGGGAGGAGAGAACATTTTCTGAGTTAGCCCACCTAACAGCCTCCTTAGTAAGAGGCTTAATGTCCTAGCTACCAGTGGAGGGGTATTATTTACTGGAAAGGTATTTGTGAAAACAAAATTGTAGGCAATTGGGGTTAAGTGACTTGCCCAGGGTCACACAGCTAGTAAGTGTCAAATGTCTGGTCTGAGACCAGATTTGAACTCAGATCCTCCTGACTCCAGGGCAGGTGCTCTATTCACTGCACCACCTAGCTGCCCCAAAGTTGCTCTTTTGACAGCCATTTCTATCCTCCCTTCACACCATTCTATCCTATCTGCATAGCTATTTTTAAGGGAAATTCCTCTTGTTTTTAGAGCCTATATTTGGTCTTATTTTCAATATTCTGACCAACTAGAGAGGTGTGTGGTGTAGTATCATCTACAATTCCAGTGACCTGAGTTATCTCCCTTCCCTCTCTTTTTTTAAAATCTCTCTTTTCTATATTTTCCCTTCTTTCCCCCATTGCCTACTTCTCTGTTTGTCTTTCCTCTTTCTAAGACAACTCAGTCCCTGACTCTCCAGAGTAATTTTCTACATCTACCCTGACCACCTT